GTGAGGCAGACACCCTGTCTACTTTAAGGCTAGGCTTAAAACTTTCCTTTTTGATAAAGCTTATAGTTAGAGTGGCTCAGGTTATCCTGAGCTATCTCTATAGTTCTATAGAACTCTATAGTATATACAATAATTCATGTATCATGTGCGGATAAGAAATACTCCGATTCCACAGGTACAACAATAGAGCGCGTGGTGTGGGGAGGAGGTTGCTGGTGAAAGCTGTGCAGCGTTTCTGTCCAAAGCGATGCTCTGATCAACCAGCGTTCCAGGCGGCTGGTTGATCAGAGAGCTGATTGGATCAGTCTGATTAGTTTCTCTGGTTACTCTCTGGCAGTCACCTAGTTACCACTCAAAGCTGTGCATCCTGGGAAACGGCAGAGGTTTAATCCTCGAGTAAAAAATGAAAATATAGGACTAACTTTACAGCAGAATATACTAAAGTATATCCACGTCTAGTGAAGGGGAGGAACAGTGGCGGATCTAGACCAAATGTACCAGGGGGCCAGGAGGGGGCCAGCGTGTTTTCATGGGGGCCCAGAAAAGCATGAAATAAAAAACAGGACAAGGGATTCAAATATATTAATATAGCTGAATGAAGCTTCTTTACAATTAGATTCAATAAAAATTCTATTTCTTATGAGGTCAATATACATTTATAATTTAGGAATTTTACATATTTTTGACTTAATTTCAGTTAAATCTACCGTTTCTATAAAATTTTAATTAGAACTCAAGAAAAACTTAAATTCATCCATAAAAATTAGAACTTTTTTTTTATTTGTTGTGAAGATAAAAACATTTAGTAGATAAAATCTGGGATCCTATCTCCATGCCACTGAAGCTATTGCCTTATTGTTTTTGAATAATTAGTAAAACAGAATTTGTGAAGAAACAGAATGAAGTAGATCCAAAGGACCCATCAGTAACCATGTCTGTTCCAGCGCATATCATCATTAGAATTTCTTTTTGTAATATGTCTTCGGTAGAGGGGCCATAACAGGGGCCAGGTCGGGTTAGCATCTCCCTGAAATCAGTTTTTGGAACTTGGGATGTCTGAGAGTAGCTGACCCTTCCTTCATTTGTTGAATCTTTAACAGTGATGTCATCATAGAGGCGTTACCCTTCAGTGAAGTGCTTTCTGTCATCAGTAACAGGTCGGGTTTAGGTGCTAGCATCACCACATCAAACTGTTTAATTGCTTCTCCTGTTTGACATTTTATCAAATAAAAGGTATCTGAACATACATTTCAGTGATTGTTCTGATTTAACTTCACTGACTGGATGATAACTGTGAAAATCATCGGGTGGAGTTACCGATTCTGACCTCCAGCTGATTGTAGCTCAACATTCTGATCACTGGTGGTACCCGTTCAGTGTCTGCTAGTGAATATCTGCTAACTGTGTGGTGGAAGTGAATGAAAGAACACAGGAGCATTCTGAGCCCACAGTCCCATCATCTAATCCATCCATCAATCCAGAGACCTACTGACCATCTGCCCTGATGGTTGGAGACCAAGAAGCCCAGGAAATATTCTGCCTGTGGTTAGCGGGTCAAAAAGCCATCTTCCATCACGGTTCAGGGTTAGAGCGATGCCGGTTTCTTTCGGAACTTGTTTTTTATTGAAAAAAAACAAACTTTAAGTTTATAGAAACCGTATTTTCTGATCCCATTCATGCGTTTTTCCATTATCTACATCCAGAAGGCTTAGTGAGGCAGAGGACGTCCATGCAGCTCAGATATATTTAGAAACAGCCTGTGCTGTTTGGCACCTGAAGACACCCTAAATGCCAAAGGGACTTTCAGAATAAGAGCCTGGAGTCAAAATCTGCCCCTCGGCTGTTTGTTTTAAAGTTAAACTCCAGAAAAGTGCTGTTGTTTTTTTCCTGATTTATTCCAGAGACGCGGTTAATGAAAGGCACAGTAGTTCAGATGCTGCCGAGGCAGGAGGAAAGGAGGCCACACCAAACATGGAGACCTGCAGTGGCTGAGACTATCAGGTCTCCTGACCCCCCCCAATAGCCATGCCCCTCGCTCCCTGTTACTGCACCACATGTCTCCTCAGCCTGAGCTGAACTGGTGCCACTGGAACCTGTCCATAACTGGTCCCAGTGAAAGCTGAGTGAGGACAGCCTCACAGGGTCCGATATATTTGCAGATCTTGTTTAAACCCAAAGCTTTGCCTCTTTTCCCTTAATGCCACTCTCTGCCTGCAGCTGATTCAGGTGAAAACCTTAAAGTGACTTACTGTCCCTGTAGTTCCACGCCAACACTGCCTTGCTTCACTGCTGCTGTTGCTGCTAAATGAACGTTACCTGTTATAATTCCCGTGTGTGAGCACAGATATCCGTCCCTGCGAGTGGCAGCTGTATACAGTGGCACATTAACACTTACAGTCAACCTCTCCAGGTCTATAAATGGAGCTGCAGTGTAACCTGCCCACCCCCTGACCTTATCACATAAACAAACACACGTTGAGAAACACGCGGCACATTTTGGCCATGCAATCCCAGTGCCTTTTCACCCAGGATACTTAGTTATTGAGTTGACATTGAATAAAAGGTTTGAACTTGCTTTATCTCTGACAGTGAGCCACATTTAAAAATCTGGGGAATCCTGCAAAAATATTTTCACGTACATGAATGTCTCAGGAAACCATAGTAGTTTTAATGAGCAGAAGTGTCTGGTTTAGTGGGTCTATTGTGCTGCTCCACCATGGCAGCAGGACACAGCAGGTTGATGGAGGAGGACATCATCATGTGCTCCGTGTGTGGAGAGCTGGATCAGCAGAAGGACTTTTAAGAAACTGAAGGTGGGTTTCTGAGAAGGAAAACCTGGAGAAGCAGGTGAAACAGAATAAAAAAGGCAGCAGGTTGCAGAAGAAAGTGAGAAACTGTCTCAGTTTCAACATCACAACACCAAACTGAGCATGTCTCCAATAAAACAGAAACACATCAATCATATGTTGCTGAAAAACTCCAGAGGATTTTCTCCAAAAAACAAAATCCCGGAACATTTCAAACCAAACAGACGCTTAAACAGAGAGTAGTGCATCCTAAAGACCAAACCTCCAGACCAAATATGGCGGAGTGGTGTCTGCAGCTCAATGCAGTGAGGAATCCTCTGATCTTTATATTGGAGAAACCAAACTACCTCTCCACAGACGCATGGCCCAGCACAGATGAGCCCCCTCCTCTGGACAAGACTCTGCTGTGCGTCTACACCTTATGGACAAAGGACATTGTTTGGAGGACCAGAATGTTCCTATTTTGGATAAAGAAAATAGATGGTTTGAGAGGGACATGAAGGAAGCCATCTATGTGTTTTTGTATAGAAAACATGCAAATTGAAATGGATGAACGGGTCCACCGCTTTGAAATGGGAACTGTTTGGCTT